GGCGACCTTTGCGATTTAGAGCTTCACCATGTGCTGACCCCGCTCTGTCATTTTACATGGCCTACTACTTTGTGGCTGAGTTGCTGTGTTTCCCAGTTGCTTCCACTTTGTTATAATCCCGCTAACAGTTGACTGTGGAATATTAAGTAGCAAGGAAATTTCACAGATGGACTTATTGCACAGGAGGCAACCTATCATGGTACCACGCTTAAATTCACTGAGCTCCCGAGGGCGACCCATTCTTGGATGTCTGCATGCCTATGATTTTATACACCTGTGGCCATGGAGGTGATTGGTACACCTGAATCCAATGATTTGGAGGGCTGGCACAATACTTTTGGCAATATAGTGTATGCAAAGCACTCAATAAATTGAGGGCGATATTTAAGTATATGTACATAAAAATTAAATAGTAAAAGTTGATAGCGAATGGCATCAGCTCTGTTCTCCACCCATAAAAGAGCCCCCTCGCCCCAATGCATTTCACCCATGTTATTAAGTCCCACATGGGCAAAATGCTTTGGGGGTGTCTTCTATATGCGGAGAACTGGGCTGAAGCCAATTCTCAATATTTTTTTACAATTTTTACTTTATAGTCTGCTGTTCCTGTTTTCTTGCAATAATATACATTTATTTTATTATTTAAAACCAGAGAAACAAATACTGTGCAAATGTTTTATTTAGGTGTGAAGAAATGCTTTTAAAAATATATATTTTATTTGCGCATTTTTATCAATTTACAAAATGCAAAGTGAGCAAACAGAAGAAAAATCTAAATCAAATCAATATTTGGTGTGACCACCCTTTGGCTTCAAACTAGCATTAATTTAATGCATCATCACTTTGTACACTTGCACATTCAGGGATTTTATATGCTTAGAGTCAGGTGTATAATTAATTATACCAAGCAGGTGCAAATGATCAATTTCATATGCAGGACTGAAACAGCTGTGCAGAAGGCTTAAAACTGGGTGAGGAGTAGCCAAACTCTGCTACTAAGGTGAAGTTGTGGAAGACAATTTTATGTCACAGGTCACGTCATGGCAAGACTCAGCACAGAAACAAGACACAAGGCAGTTATATCAGCAAGGTTTCTCCCAGGCAGAGTTCAAGCTCTTTTGAAGAAGCACAAAAACAGTCATTGTAGAGAACCGTAGCCGCAGTGTTGGGCCAAGGAAATTTATTGCAGCAGACAGAAGACACCAATCTACTTTCTGGAGAAGTATGGCTAGTGGTCTTCATGGAAGAATTGCAGCTAAAAAGCCATACCTCCAATGTGGAAACAAGGCTAAGCGACTCAACTATGCGCAAAAACATAGGAAATGGGCTGCAGAAAAAGGACAGCAGGTGCTTTGGGCTGATAAGTCAAAATTTGAAACTATTTGGCTGTAGCAGAAGGCAGTTTGTTCACGGAGGACTGAAGAGCGGTAAAATACGTAGTGTCTGCAGTTTGAAGCTGCATTTCTGCAAATGGAGGTAGAGATTTAAGTCAGGATCAATGGTGTCCTCAATGTTAAGAAATACAGGCAGATACTTATCCTGCATACCATACTAGCAGGGAGGCGTGTAATTGGCCCCAAATTTATTCTGCAGCAGGACAACCACCCCAACATACAGCCTTTGTCATTAAAAACCATCTTCAACATAAAGAACAACAAGAAGTGATGGTCTGGGATTACATGAAGAGATAGAAGGATTTGAGGCAACCTAAATCCACAGATCTGTGGTTAGTTCTCAAAGATGTTTGGAACAACCTACCTGCAGAGTTCCTTTCAAAACCATGTGCAAATGTATCTAGACGAATTGATGCCGTTTTGAAGGCAAGGGTGGTCACACCAAATAATAATTTGATTTGTTTTTTTTCCTGTTTATTTAGTTTCCATTGTGTTAATTGATAAAAATAAACTATTAACACTTATTTTACAGCAATTTTTTCACACTTGCCTAAAAATTTTGCACAGTAGTGTACATTTTTTATTTTCTTTCTACATTTTCCAAGAACTTGTGGCAAATATTTTTTGAAAATTACTTGTCTCTTAAAAAATAAGCTTGGGGTATTTGCCATTTAAAATGTGATCATTGTATGGGTGTTTCCTCTTTTCCAGTGCTCCAGGGCCTACAAAAATGTGAATGGTAGTGAAGTAATCAGATGCGCGACTAGAATGACTGAAGGTGCTCCTTGGAGTTTGGGCCTCTCTATGTGGCTAGGCTTTGAAAAAGTCTTACATATAGGGTATCCCCTTACTCAGGAAGAGTAGCAGAATGCATTTTTGAGTGTAATTGTATATGTCCCTATGCTGTGTGTAAGAAATATCTTATTTATTGACATCAGTTAATTTTTTCTGTTTTCTCAACCGGGGTGCCTTGAGGTTTCTTCTGGGGTGCCTTGGCAGAATGTCTAAAAGTTGCACAAAACAAGCCAGCAGATGGAAGAAGCCTGACTTTTAGTTACACAAAGCCACAGGTTTTCAGTGTGCGCCATTACGGCATTCTAGCCATCGGTGTCCTCAATACCAATAACATTATCAGTTGATTAAGAGGATGTTGGTTACCTGCACAGCATCCTTGTGTGACCCTCCCCCCGCCCCTCTCTGTCAGTGCTGGGGTCACATTAGCTCAGTGATGCAGAAAAACTGAAAGAAACACTGTAATACTAGTCAGGAATCAGTGTGCAAACATGTATTTGATTTGGATGAATAAATGACCTCTAGCGTTGGGTGTCCTACACGTGTGTATGTTTCTTTATATAAAACTATTACAATAGTTTTTTACATTTTAGAATGGACTGTCCATAATTCTGAAGGGGCCTCAGGACTGTTCATAATATTAAAGGGTGCCTCGGGACTGTCCATAATTTTAGAGGGTGCCTTCACTGGAAAAAGGTTGAGAAACACTGATCTAGACAGTAAAAAAAGTCAATTGTGGTATTCTCATACTAGAATAATAGAATGTGGTGCAAACATGCGTATGCTATGTGTGAGAAATAACTTGTTAAAATTACAACTTTGTGGAAAAAAAAAACAGATTTATTAAATGCCCTCATTTAAAAAAAAAAAAAAAAAAAAAAAAGTGGCAAAAAATTACAAACTCACCATGCCTCTTACTAAATACCTTGAAACTTTAGACTTTCCAAGAAAAGGATCATTTTAGGAGTATTTGTATTGTATATTTTAGGGCCTCAAGAAATTAGATTTAAAAAATTAGAACATCAGGGTTGATCAATCTCAAATGTGTATATCATGGTTTGTATACTCAAACTTTCATACAGATTAAATAATATATACCTACCGTATTTTCCGGCGTATAAGACGACTTTTTGACCCTTGAAAATCTTCTCAAAAGTCGGGGGTCGTCTTATATGCCGGTATACGGCATGCTGACACTTTTTAGGGGGGCGGTGCGGTGTCGCCGCCGCCCCCCCCCTTCCAACAGAAGTGAAACTAAGTACAGGGGTGGGCAGGGGCTTCTGTTTCTTACCTGGCTCCGGTCCCACGACGATCCGGTCCAGGAAGCGCGGCTGCTCCTTCCTTCAGTTCGGCCACTGGATATTCGTGCGGCTGCTCGGCTCCGCCTCCTCACCGGTGATTGGCCGCCAGAACTGTAGCTCAGGAAAGGCACACAGGCGGCCAATCACCAGGGAGGAGGCGGAGCCGAGCGGCCCCACGAAAATTAAGTGAAGGTAAGTGTGCCGTGCACAGGTGCTGCTGCAACCATATATGCTTGCTGCAGCAGCACCATACTGAACAGGGGTCAGCAAGTGTCAGTGGGAGGAATAGTGCCCCATCATTGGTGTCACTGATACCAATGATGGGGCATTATTCCTCCCACTGACACTGACGATGGGGCACTTTTCCTCCCCCCCACTGACACCAATGATGGGGCACTATTCCACCCCCCACTGACACCACTGATGGGACACTATTCCTCCCTGACACCAATGGGGGCACGATTCCTCCCACTGACACCAATGATGGGGCACTATTCCTCCCACTGACGCCAATGATGGGGTGCTATTCCTCCCACTGACACCAATGATGGGGTGCTATTCCTCCCACTGACACCAATGATGGGACACTATTCCTCCCACTGACACCAATGATGGGACGCTATTCCTCCCACTGACACCAATGATGGGGTGCTATTCCTGCCACTGACACCAATGACTGGGCACTATTCCTCCCACTGATACTAATGATGGGGCACGATTCTTCCCCCTGGTGTGCATTGGAAGAGGGGTAGTCTTATACGGCGAGTATAGCCCAAACACTACATTTTAACAGGAAAAGTAGGGGGGTCGTCTTATACGCCCAGTCGTCTTATACGCCGGAAAATACGGTATTTGTATTTTTTCTCCAAAGAAATGTAGCATTAATCATTTCTAATTTTCACTAAATTTATCAAGAAATAATATTTATTTGCAAAGTTTTAGATCAGAAACACTGTTTTTAAAAAATGTCCTTTATATAGTAATAAGAAAACAGTAATGATTAAATACCACCAAAAGAAAGCGGCCTACAAAAAAATTAAATAAAATTTGAGTAGTGTTGCATGACTGAGTAATTCTCATTCAATGTAGGACTGTGCTGAAAACAAAAAATGGCCTGGACAAAAAGGTAGTTTAACATGCCAGTCTTCGGTGGTTAAAGGAAAAAAAATGTGAAAATGTTCATTTTGTAGAGAGATACTGATTTTCTGTATTTTCTCCATACACTTTTAAGGTAACAATAGCTAAGGCTCTCGATGTGGCATCTTTGATCTCTGTAGCTTTAGCAAGATTTGCTTTCTGCCTTTTAGGAAAGCCATGCTGTACTAAATTGTTGCCCCTAGTCAGCTTCCTACTTTCAGAGTTTTTTACTAGTCAATTCAATATATTTAGAATGTATAGTTTGTCAACAGTGTTGGAGAAGAAAAACCAAAAAAAAAAAAAAACCACAAGTTCCACCGAAAAGTGATTTTATTTAACTAAAAAAAAATGGTTACAGTGTACAGTTTCAGGAAAGTTAATCCATACGCGCCTTCAGTGTCCGAGTGGTAACTTTATCTTTTTCTCTGTAAAGATAGAAGGTACAATTTTAGCCTTTGAATTGGATGTCACATAAAATTTGTTTATAGAGGAGTCAGGCAACAATCATTTCACACAATCTCATCCTATTAGTGTCTTTTATTTCTGATTTAAAAAAAGTGAAAAATATAGCCATTTCAATATATTCCATATTCTTTTCTCAACACCAAATAGGCCTAGGATTTATGACTGTAAAGCCGAACATACAAGGATCAAAATTTGGATGGTTTAGCAGGGACCGCCCACATTTATGGGCAAGCTGATTGTACAGAAGTTGATCAGTAGATTGACTGACTTCTGTACAACCAGCTTGTTGGAAAATCAGCACGATCAGCCTTTCTGGCTATAGCCGGCAGTGCTGATCGGTGAATGCTGGTATTGGAGAAGTCTCCTAGCTGTCAGAATACAATATCTCTGCAGGAAGATTCCCCCCATCGACAATCAAGTGTGTGGATGGGGGAATCGGTTGTTTTTTTGTTTTTTTTTTTTCATTCAACCAGTGAAATTCAAAGAATGATGTATGAGCTGCCTAAACATTGGCTTGATGCATCACCTAGTTGTTAAATTTGCTACTACAGTTGCTCTTAAGTAGTTTTTTTGTTAGTCATTTATCATGCAAATTTTACAATACATATACAGGGGTTAGCCAACAAAATGAAAACACTACATGATTTGCAGGTGTAAAAAATGATGACAATGATGGTCTGTGCTGAAAGGGGAAGTGATGCAACATTCTTTTGCTTCTGCTGTGTGAGAATACACCTAGCGAACAAGTGGGAAGCCTCACCTTCGTCATTCACTGCATGTGCTGCTAGTAATCTGGAGTCATGTCAAATTACTGAGCATCAAAGAAGGCAAATTTTTTGGTGCCCACTTAGCTGGTGCCTCTGTGACAAGTTGCCAATTTGCTGTGTCGCGTGGTACAGTTTCAAAGATTATGACGGCATATACAGTTTCTGGGAAAATGTAGTCTGATAAGCATAAGCACAGTCAACTGAACAAAAATGACATTGCACAGGATTATCACCTGGAATAAGAAAACAACTGCTGCAAAAGTGACTGCAGAGCTCAATCTCAGTCCCATGAAGACATACATTTACTGCATTGGGCGGCAGGAGCAGGTACAGTCATATGTGACTGCCTTATTCAGGGTCTGCGGATACGCACATGCGCGCCCCCTGCTGTGACTGTACACAGCATGAGTTTGGCAGTTTATTTCAGCTAACAATTTTGGCTGAAATCAGGTGAAGACTGTGTCCAATCACATAGAGTTCTGTTTACAAAACACAGGACTCTGTGTACAGGGAACAGTGATCTGGCTGTGTTTGATCCTTGCAAAGTAGGGAGAAAAAAACAGGACAGATAGTAAAGCAAAAACAGCACACATTACTAGGCACACAATTAACATCTTGATTGCTCCTAGATGTTAACACCTTCCCAGCTAGTGTCATTGGTACAATAAGGTTGATCACAAAAAAAAAAAAAAAACCCCACAACAACAGGCTTGATGTTTTCAACAAGGCCTGGCTTCACTGGCACCAATTTATCTATTCAAGTGAAGATACCAGTCTTCTAGCAGGCCAGGATTGAGGAAGTTATTACTAAATTGGATACATTTTCTTAGCCCTTCCAGCCTCTCAATATTCTTCACCCCTAACCTATCCTCACTTCCATAAGTGGTTCCACTCCTCTCCCCTTCCCTCTTCGTATCCATGTAGGACTACACCCCTAGACTTTCCCTTTTCTCTCCAATGCATATATACAAACCTAACACTATGACATTGTAGAATGGCATATGCTAGTGGGAACACAACACTCCTTTATTTACACAGGATTAAAAAATCATGTGTCCTTTCTTACATGTTTCAGCCTGCTATGATTCAAGCGGAGTTCCAGCTAAAAAAAAAAAGGCAGCAGATACAAAAACTGTAGCTGCTGACTTTTAAAATACAGACACTTACCTGTCCTTACCTGTTATAAACTATGTAAAATGTTAGCTTTCTGTATAAGGTTGAAAAAAAAAAACATAGGTCCATGAAGCTATGAGTGTTTGTGTGATTTTTAGTCTCTAACAATTCCCATTGCTCCGTAAATTCCACTTCCTGAGGAAAACATCTGAAAGTTTTTTTTAAGTTTTTGATACTTTCAGCTAGTACCAAGTCCTAGGGGAAGGGGTTCCATGTATTTACTGCAGTAGCCGCAAAGAATCTTTTACCCGATCTACGATTAAACCTTCTTTTTTCAGGGACCTTAGAATAAACTCTGTATTGCTGTTACTGAAGTCACATTGATATATTTGTATATTGTAATCAAATCACTTCTTATGTGCCTCCTCTCTAGATTGAAATATATTTTGCCAATCTAATAATACAGATTTGTTAAGATTAATAAATATGGATGACAGGTACTCACATGATGTGTACAACCACCCCCCCATTCCAGACACAGCATCTCTGTCCAGAGCATTCAGCATGGCCTGTGAAATGGTTTCAAAAAGGTCCTCTGGCTCCTTGAGGCGGGGAATAAGAGTACATTGATGAGACAAAATATGGGAAATGACACTATATCATCATCAAGTAAACTTTTTTGGTATTAATATTTTAACATTCACCTAGCAGTCATTTTTGCTTGCCTTTTATGATTTTGCAAGCTTGCTGTTCCCTATTTGACTCTCTAACTTATAAATTATAAGTATATAAATGCAAACTCTAATTTCCATCTATAAATTAAATATAATTAACATCTTTCTAAATGGATACTTAAACCAAAAACTAAAAATAATCATACAATCTTAGTGGTTCTAAAGTCTCAAGGTTTTTTAGCTTCATGCATTCTATACATGAAGGTAAAAAACCTTCTGTGTGTAGCAGCCCCCCTAACACTTCACTGAGCCCCCTTTTTGATCCAGCGATGTCCATGAGAGCCTCGGTCCTCTGGGGACTCTCACTTCTGATTGGCTGAGGCCAATTGGCTCCCGCTGCTGTCAATCACAGCTAGTGAGCCAATCAGGAGAGGAAGAAGGCAGAACCAAGCTGTGGCCCTGTGTGTGAATGGACACGCAGAGCAGTGGCTCGGGAGCACCCCGGCTCAAGTGTCCCTATTGCAAGCGGTTTGCTATGGGAGTACCCGACAGGAGGGAGGGGTCAGAAGCGCCAGCAGGGGACCCAAGAAGAGGAGGATCTGGGCTGATCGTTGCAAAACCACTGCACACAGCAGGCAAGTATGACATGTTTGTTATTTTTAAGAAAAGAAAAAAAAAAAAAAAAAAAGCACAAAAAAACAAGACTTTAGTTTCACTCTAAAGTCTAAGTTCGCCTTTTGGGGCATGTTACACATTACACCCATATTTAGCGTGTAACATGCTCCAGCTCCTGACCCTCTGCACAGCCCCCCCGATCCCCTTTCCCTTGTGACAGCAGGAGGGGGTACTTCTCCTTATACCTGCTGTCACATTTTAAAACCAGTGAGGCTGTGTTGGGCTCCGCCTGCACAGCTGCGTCATTCATTCACAGAAATCTGTGAAAGAATAAACAAGCCCCATCAGTTGTAGTTCTCAATGAAAGCTGAAGGAAGTGTCAATGAAATACAAGGGAGCCCATCAGTGGTGGGGGAAGGGGGGAGTGCTACCTTTTTTTTTCTTTTCTAGGTACCACTTCCGCAATCCCAAATACCCACTTCTCTAATCCTCCCCAATGCGAGGATGGCGTCACCTTGGGCCGCAACCTTCTTTGCTGGAGCGCTGTAGGACCATTTTCACTGCAATGAAACAGCAATCCACGGCTTCTACTTTTAACAGTGTATCCACTTTAATATTAATATTTTTTATAGTTATACAGGATTTATATAGCGCCAAAAGTTTGCTCAGACGCTTTACAATATAAAGGGAGACAATACAGCAACGATACAGTTCAATACAAAAGGGTAAGCAGGGCCCTGATCCTTGGAGCTTACAATCTAAGAGGGATGGGCTGGTGGTATAAAAGGTAATAACTGTGGGGGGATGAACTGATAGGAGAAATAGAAGATTTGGTTATTAGCTGAAGGCAGGATAGGCATTCCTGAAGAGATCATGGGAGGAGAGGACAGTTTGAGTGATATTTGGAGACAAGATTGGTGATGTAATTTGGAGAAGAGTTATAATTGGCTTTATTGTTAATGTTTTGAATTTTATTTGTTGGGCAATGGGAAGCCAGTGGAGGGATTGGCAGAGAGGGATGGAATATATGGAATGATTAGGAAGGTGGATGAGTCTGGCAGCAGCATTCATGATGGACTGTAGAGGGGATAGCCTGCAATTACGTAGGCCAATGAGGAGGGAGTTACAGAAGTCAAGGCAAGAGAAAACAAGGGAGTGAATAAGTTGCTTAGTGGTTTCAGAGGTTAAGAATGGGCGTATCTTGGACATGTTGCGGAGGTGAAGTCTACAGGATTTGGACAGCGATTGGATTTGGGGCTGAAAGGACAGATGGGAGTCTAGGATTACACCTAGTACCCTGGCATAAGGGGAGGGACTGATGGTTGTATTATTGATTTTGATGGAGATGTCAGGGGAGGGGGCATGGGCTGGAGGGAATAGTATGAGCTTAGTTTTGGAAAGATTTAGTTAGAGGAAGTGGAGTGACATCCATGCCGATATGTCACTTAGTAGGTTAGTAATGCAAGAGGAACCTGAAGTGGTGAGGAGTAGACAGATAGATTTGTGTGTCATCAGCATAGAGATGGTACTTAAAGCCATGGGAGTTTATCAAGTGACCAAGGCAGGAGGTGTAGATGGAGAAGAGAAGGGGTCCAAGGACAGACCCTTGAGGGACCCCTACAGAAAAAGGAAGTGGAGAGGAGGAGACAGAGTTATAGGTAATGCTGAAGGAGCGCTGCGATAGGTAGGAGGAGAACCAGGAGAGAGCAGAGTCTTGGAGGCCAAGAGAGTGGAGTTTTTTGAGGAGGAGAGAGTGGTCAACAGTATCAAAAGCCGCAGAGAGGTCAAGTAGCAAGGAGTATGGAAAAATGGCCATTTGTGTTAGCAGTTAATAGATCATTAGTGGGTTTTAGTAGGGCAGTTTCAGTGCAGTGTAGTGAGCGAAAGCCAGACTGTAAAGGGTCAAGAAGGTTGTTGTCGGTGAGGTGGGAGCTTAGGCAATTGTGGACTAAGAGTTCTAAGAGTTTAAAGGTAAACGGGAGCAGGGAGATGGGTCTTAAGTTGTTCAGGTTGGTGGGGTCCAGTGAGGACTTTTTAAGTATGGGTGTGATCTGTGCATGCTTTAGAGGGGTGGGGAAGGCGCCAGTAGAGAGAAAGAGATTGAAGATGTGGAGTGAGGGAGCATAGGACAGAAGAGAAGGGTGACCATAGTAGTTGAGATAGGGCAGGATCCACGCGGTTAGATGGGCTTCAGAGAAAACTTTGGTGACCTCTTCAGTAGTAGCAAGGTCAAAAGAGGAAAGTGTTGAGGGAGGTTTAGTATAAGGTATGCTAAGTAGGATAGATGTCTGTGTAGTGGAGATTTATTTATAATAAAAAATATATATGTACTACACCACATAAAACCTTCTATACTCACCAAGTCTGGCTCCCAGAGAGATTCACACATGCCATACATCTGTTCTGAACATGTCCCACTAACAACAAAGTCTTCAGTCTCCATTGGACATCCAATAAGATCCAGAGAGCAAATGAATGGCTCAAAGGTCTTTGGGTCTAAACCAGCAATAACTGGTTCAACATAGTAAGGACCAAACCTGGCAAGAAAGCAAAACGTGTTTCTGAAAAACAAATCTAAACTCACTGCATGCACTATATAGAAGAAAAAAAAACAAACAATCCAAAAATAACAGGTATTCTCCAAATAGAACTTTTACCAAAAAATATATTTTTTTTAGTCTTAGATAAAATAGTATAAGAAAAGATTATAACCTGGCTGTCTTCATTGATATCTGTATCCCTAATGGGGAGATTTCCTCTCACTTTCTGGTCCCAGTAAGAAGAACTTACCAACTTGCTCCAAAAAAGACACAGACATCATTAAAGCTTCAGGTTTTTTTTTCTGCTGTCAATGTTCCAGTTGACATAACATTATTTCCTTTTGTGTCACCAGAATAAGAAAAAAGGGGAATCTCCATAGCAATCACACACAAAGTACCCAACAGAAATTTTAGCTCTTCTCCACTCTGTCTATTTAGAAAAATGGCTCCTGTTCTAGTAACTATATTAAAATAAGACAAATGTTTTCGATCAACGAGATACAGTACAACAGGGCTTTATACTTACCTAGAAGCAGGTAAACCAGTACGTGTATTCCAACCATGTTTGCCTGAACGTTCACTCTAACTTTAATCTAGGAAGAGACTTCTCTATGGATGTGAATAGGATCCATCATACCGGATGACATTCACAACAGCAACCCAAATTCCAAAACAACATCAGAGGGTTTATCCACATTAACATCTTCTCCCCATCTGTGGCTATAATAAAGCTAAAAGTCAAGAGAGACTGAACGCTTGCTTCATCCCCGCTCTAATTTCCTGGATTTTTGCAGTGACTTGATTGAAAGCTGCACTTTTGACTCTTCACTGCAAGGTGGCCAGGATCGCAGTCATACTCTGTTGATAGTTTTCCAAGAAAAGCATGGTCTGCCACCAAGTTGCTGAGGACACAAGGGGATTTTTATACCTGAATAGCAAATCTCAGAAACCATTGACAATTATGTTGAACTTGCATGTGAGATATGTATCCTTTATATCTAGCAATGCTAGATAGGTTGATGGGGGAGGAGATTTCTGATTGAAAATTTGCTCTTGATTTCGAATTTCCTGTGTTTTATGAATTTGTTGAGAGACTTTAAAATTGAAGATGTTGCAGTAATGGCATTGGTCTTAGAAATACATGAGAGTAATAACCAGACCCCTGAAGAGAAATAGGGACCTCCGTATTGACCTCTTGATTGCACTAATTTGATATTGTTTCCAGCATTGCCTTGCATCTTGTTGTAGCCGATGGTAGTCTGTTTATCAGGAAGTTCTTTGGGCGTTCTGAGTGAAACTCCAGCTTGTACCCCCAGCCTGAGTGACTGAAGAATAAAGGGCTTTGCACAAAAACCACTGCCATTGCGACATAAACCGTGCCATTAGGGAAAGAACCTCCTCAATCTTCCTCCAACGCATGGGTAGGCATCACTGGGTATTACTTGAAGATTTCGGGGTAGGGAAGAGCACACTACACTTTCCTTTCAGCTTATCATAGACCCACTTGCATTTTGTTTGTGACCTCTTGTCCTCCTACTGTGCGTTGCATTTGTTGAGACTTAAAAGCTTTCTGGGTTTAGAAAACCTCTTTTTCTCTAGAAAACCTTTTTTCTTTTTGTCTTGCCCAGATTTTTCAAGAACAATTTCCTGCTCTGGGCCAAAAAGCAGACTTTTGTCAAATGGAATTAATTAAAATCACTGTCTCCAGACCACATCTTAAGCAATAAGGCCCTCCCCCTCCATGCCAAATTGAGGAGTCTCGTTGTGCCTGCTGTCATACAAAACTGCCTTGGCCAAAGCATCTGCCTTGTAAGCCACAGGTTTTGAATTAGATGAATGGACTCCAACACCTCTTCGGTACCTGCCCTAGATGATTCTGATGCAGCGCTAACCAAAATAATACATTTTTAGCTAGGCAAGGGTCAGTAACATTAGGCTTAAAAGCTGAGGAGCTTTTCTAAGAATTGCCTTCAGTTTTTTTGTCCATAAGCTTATTTAGTTCTCCCATGCCATAAAAAGATAGGTTTGGACATTTGACTTGGAACCCAACAGCTTCTTTTTCAAATGGAAAATGCCTTTTTAATATTTTAGAGGGGAAAAAAAAACATGTTAGGTTCCCTCCACTCTCTACTAATTATCTCTTATTGAATAGGGTACCAGAAAAGACTTATGCTTCACTTCCTCCAAATCCCTGTATAAGTGATTCCCACATAGAAGCAGAGGAGGGAGCTACCTGCATAAATTACATTTAGGAATTCCTCAGCTTCTTCAGTCGGAAACACATTTTGTAATTTTCAGACTGCTATCTTCAGAAAATTCTGCGTTACAGTCTTGAAATTTAATCTTCAGTCTTGAATAGGTGTTCCTCCTCTTCCCATTCCAACTGGGAATTAGAGGATTCTAAGAAAATTGAGTAATCCCTGGACCTTTGTCCTCCTCCTTGTTATGCTGAAGAGGCAACGTCTCCAAAGGCCGTTTGAACTATTCTAATACCAACCGAACTGATCTAAACGTAAAAAGGACGTTTCTTCCCTAAGGTTGCCTATAAAATGTTGAGGCATTGACATATTGCCAACATAAAGGTTTTTCACTGAACAAAGAGATCTTGATTCCACAGATTCAGCAACATTTCCTTTTGCAGATTTTTTTTTTTTGTGTTTTTGGCTGAAAACTTGACCTGAAGAACTACCACAAGACTCCTCCAAGTGCATAGGTGGAAAAAAAACTGTGATGCCTGAAGATGGAGACCCATCAAAACACTCACCAGGGCCTCAGTGATGCAAAAGTAAAAATGCCACCCATTGCCCTCAGATTTCCCCGCCTCCAAGCTTCCAAGACTGCCCAACAGAGCCTTACCAGGAGAGAATTAGGCCCAGGCTTCGCCAGCACTGCTGCCTTTGTCAAACCCTCCGACGTGGTGCCGTCCTAGAGGAACAGGCAAACCTCCTGCGCAGTTGCCGGGAATCCTCAGCTAGTAATGGCAACCGTTTTAGAAAGGAAGATACAAAAAATAACACCCCAGCCCATCGAGGTGTCTCAGAAATGCAAAACCTTCACAGCTTCCCAGAAGAAACCCATCTTCTCTGTGCCTCCACCACTGCCTTCCCTGGGTGGCAAGGCTGCAACACCTTGTAAAAACGATTAAAAACCGTAAAAACGATTAAAATCTTGTATCGTGCGAGGCCTCTGGAACAAGAATGCCTGGCGAGGATGGAACAAGAATAAGCTGCCATCACCTTATAGCATACCAGTTTGAATAGGCCAAAGACTGGATGCAAGGACTTCCACTACCCCTCTGAAGACCACCTTGGCCAGATAAGTAAGTAGGCAAGCTCCATCAGTCATACCCAAAAAAGCTCCAGGGGAATGTGGCTCAAGAAAAAAAAAAAAAAAAAAAATCTGCCTCAACCACCCCCGGTGTTTCTTGTAGGAAGAGAAGCCAATGTCTCTCATCTGACCGTCCTGGAGGATGACTTGGGCAAGTGAGTGTTTAAAGACAAAGTTGAGCAATGCAGTGCCAAGTATCCAGCAATACAAGACACACCCAGCCACATGACACTTCCAGGCTTACCCTGTAATGGCTCAGTTAAGCAGTGCTGTCACAATGAAAAATTTATGAGCATGCCAGCTTGGGAGAAATAAAATATAAATAAATAAATGGGGGGGGCTCGATGGCTGCAGTAGTGAGACTCCACCACCAGCCAGGTCATTCTGAATCAACCAGCAGTTGTTGTTTGAAGAATCCACAAATTTTGGCACAAAAGAGTCTTTAAAGCAGCAGAATTAAGAAAGGCATCCATCCCCCTAAGGCCACTAGCAAAAGACAGAAGCATGCTGGTTATGGGAGGGGTTATGCCTAGTAGGGCTGCTGTTAATATTTATTTTTGTACCTTTATTCTGCATAAAACATTTAACAGTGCCACTTCTTGAAATAATTTACGAGGGCGTGTTTAGGGACGGGGCAGGGTAGAGTTTGGGTGGGGCAACTGAAGGTGTGCAACTCTTAAGGCCTGACTAGTAGCTCAAGACTTGAAATTTTGAGCCCTGATCAATGCATAACTCCTTTTGAAGGAATACTACTGGGCTTCACTCACCTACATGTACAGCAAGCACAGAGGTTAACCACTTCCCAAGCAGCTTCAACCCCTTACAAAAAAATCCCACAAAGAAATCACAGGACCACAAAACTGAAACAGTATAATACTAACCACTTGGAATGCAAGGAGTGCTTGGTTAAGAAATGCTTAAAGAAAAAAAAAAAAAAAAAAAAAAAAACATACAAAACTGCAAGGGCAGAAAACTGACCCTCAAAAGGCAAGCTTTTGATCAATGTCCCATTGGAGAAAGGCCAAAACTTGAGCCACCAAGAAGAAACATAGATAGACACCTAGAGCCTCACATCAGGAGATATATCATCACACCTGGAAGGCTTATATCTTCCAAACGGTAGACTTGCGTGCCATCAACAATGTGGGGATCACCGAATACAACAACCCGTTCCTAAAAACCTGGCTTTCTATATCCATGCCATCAAAGCCAGAGACGGTAAAGTAGGGTGGCAGATTTGACCTTTGCAGAACTCTCCTATGGAACTGCACATACGGAACAGCCTCAAAGGTGGACACCATACGATCCAGAGCCTGCATGCAAGACTGTGGAGAGGACCACTTGTGGGACAAGAGTACTTGGACTGCAGTCTGAAGCTTGCAGGGCTTGTCTGCGGAGTGAAATACTTTGGCGTGCAGAGTTAAGAATCAAGCCCGGATACTCTAACCTTCTGGTCAGGGTCAAGGCAGACTTGTTAAGGTTCAGAACCCATCCGAAGTCCTGCAGGGAGCGCAAAAGGATCTCCACGTTGTCCATCAGTACGGAATGGGAGTCCGCCCACAAGAGTGCTGTGCATAAGAACAGCAGCTTTCTCCCTCTTCAGAGGCTAAGAGACAGCAGCAGGTGCCAATCACAGCAGCAGGTGCAATCACAGCCAGTGAGGAGAGAGCGGGAACACAGACACACAGGAAAGCTGGGCCTGCGCAAGTATCCCCATAGCAAGTGGCTTGCTGTGGTGGGCACTCAGTGGTGGGGAGAAGCCAGGAGAGCCAGCAGGGGACCCCATAAAAAGATCGGGTCTGCTCTGTGAAAAACCATTGCGCAGAGAAGATAAGTATGACATGTTTGTTATGTAAAAAAAAAAAAATTATGGATTTATAGTCACTTTAAGCAACACCCATGAAAAATGACACATTGTTGGATTCATGTGTTGCATGTAAGTTTGTAGGAGAGAAGGTAACTCTCTATATCACTGCCTTGAAACCAGAAATGTGGCTCAGTCAAGCAAAAACTGCTTTCCTGTGAGCCCAATTATATCAGCCACTGCCATTCTGACAATCTTAATTTAAATAATGATACATCTCTTACCTTCGTTCATACAACAAGTTAGCCACCATGCTTTTGAAAGTTTTAGGTTTTATCTGGCGTCCTTCTTTAAGCTCATAAAGATTCAATCTGAACTTCAGGCGCTGGGACCTAAAAATAAATACATACAGTTTTAATAAATAATCTGTTTAGCATAACATAAATATTGCCTCTCTATTACATAGATGGGTAATATGGAAACACAGATTCTCATGACTACTGTTCACGACTGCTCCCATGGTAGCACACAGCAAATAATATGTATGTCAATTATAGCGTCCAATCGTTGGTGTCAACTTCAGGAACGAGTGCCCCATAGTTGGTGTCAACTTCAGGAACGAGTGCCCCATAGTTGGTGTCAACTTCAGGAACGAGTGCCCCATGGTTGGGATCAGTGACAGGAATTGTGCAACATCATTTGTGTTAGAGGAAGTAATTGTTACCCAAGGGCCATTAAAAGGCAAGCCAAGGGGTGCATCCAAACTGTGGGCTTCATTTTGGAGACCACTACACTAAGGGTTTATCTCTACTTTGACATGATAAAGTCTATGTATGCTAGGTTCAATTTATTCAAATCATAATTTAAGCACACACACCTTAAAATTGGGTTGTTCATCTCATTTAGAGTTACAGTACCAATAATTATGTAACTAAGCAGGCCTAACTAGCAGGAAATAATTTGAACAAATTATCTAGGTATGCCCAGTAGTGATCATATACAATTCGTTTACAATCATTTTTCAAGCACCAAACACACAATACTGGTCAGTGACCTGGCCCTTGTCAATCTCATTTGTGGGATGATGGTGGGCAACGTTAATTTGACCTATGCAAAGTATTACAATGTTAGAATAAAGAACATACTAGTATGCATTTTAGAGATCTATATTTCTTTTCAGTTGCCAGCAAAACCCTTACACTGTCTGCACATCAGTTGCCAAGCCGGCCAGTCCAATATACAAACGATCCCCCATGGGAAAGATCTTCTGGAAGTCTGTTGTCACCATCTGAGCTTGAATTCCAAAGCGTTTATCAGCAGCTACAGCCACACAGTTTTTTCCTCTCATGGCCATGACGGCCCCACCATTATAGCTCATAATAGACTAAAAAGCAGAAGAAAAAAAAATTAGATACAAACTATAGTATATAGTACTAAGAATGAAACAATATAAAACAGACAGTAAAAAAAGTGAGCTAGTACCTGGCAACTCCTTTTTCCAGGAAACCTCTAGAAGAGTTACATTAAAGAATAGCTCCCACATCTATGATAGACACAAGCGCTAGAGAATCTAAAGTATAAGGCAAAACTTTTTCTTAGATTTGGATACGTGTATACCCACACAGGGATGCAAAGATGTTCCGTTCATCCCTGTGCAAGAAGTCCCATTGATATCAACTGGGACAGCAACAGCAGTGGCTGCACGGAACACTTGTGCGTGTAAACACAGCCTTGCACGACGTACACTATACAGTGCAACCAGAAAGTATTTGCAGCGCTTAACTTTTGCCACATTTTGTTATGTTACAGCTTTATTCTAAAATGGATTAAATTCATTTTTTTCCTCAACATTCTACAAACAATACCCCATAATGACAACGTGAAAGAAGTTCATTTTGAAATCTTTGCAATTTATTAAAAATAAAAAAAATCCACATGTATATAAGTATTCACAGCCTTTGCCATGACACTCAAAATTGAGCTCTGGTGCATCCTGTTCCAAACTGATCATCCGTGAGATGTTTCCACAACTTGATTGGAGTCCACCTGTGGGAAATTCAGTTGATTGGACATGATTAGGAAAGATAATAAACCAGTCTATATAAAGGTCCCACAGTTAACAGTGCATGTCAGGTCACAGACCAAGCCATGAAGTCCAAGGAATTGTCCGTAGACTTCCAAGGCACAGATCTGGGGATGGCTACAGAAAAAGTTCTGCAGCATTGAAGGTCCCAATGAGCACAGTGGCCTCCATCATCCGTAAATGGAAGAAGTTTGGAACCACCAGGAATCTTCCTAGAGCTGGCCGCCCAGCCAAAATGAGCGATCGAGGGAGAGGGGCCTTAGCCAAGGATGTAACCAAGCACCCGATCGTCACTCTGAAAGAGCTCCAGCGTTTCTCTGTGGAAAGAGGAGAAACTTCCAGAAGAACAACCATCTCCGCAACACTCAACCAATCAGGCCTGTATGGTAGAGTGGCCGGACGGAAGCCACTCCTCAATAAAAGGCAAATGGCAGCACGGCTGAAGTTTGCCGAAAGGCACCTGAGGGACTCTCAGACCATGAGAAACAAAACTCTCTGGTCTGATGAAACAAAGCTTGAACTTTTTGGCCTGAATGCCAAGCGTCATGTCTAGAGGAAACCAGGCACCGCTCACCACCTGGCCAATACCATCCCTGTAGTGAAGCATGGTTGTGGTAGCATCATGTTGTGGGGATGTTTTTTTCAGTGGCAGGAACTGAGAGACTAGTCAGGATCGAAGGAAAGATGAATGCAGCAATGTACAGAGACATCCTTGATGAACAAATGTGGCAAAAGTTAAGCGCTGTGAATACTTTCTGGGTGCACTGTAGTATGCCCCGTGTGAGCGAGGCCTTGCTATTTTTTTTTCTTCATTTTTATCTATATTGCTTTTTGCAAGTATCATTTTTTTTTTTTTTTTTACAGCCCTGTTGGGGGCTTTTGTGAGATATTAGTGGTCTGAACAGACCCCCAATGTCTCCTTTCTGAGACAGAGAAGGGCAGTGAGGACATAGTGTCCTCAGTCCTTTTCTCTGCAGCCTTAACTGTGCTGCAGATTCAGTGAACAGAAAGCACGAAGGGAGCCAAGACGGCTGCTGCCTACAGGGTGCTCCTCCCTACACATGACAACACCGGCCACATTATGCATGCACGGCTCAGCCAAGCAGCGCAAATTCAGGGGAGCAACTATCTCTGCCTCCTCCACTTGGCGAATGAGCCTCCCACACCGCCCTTTATAATGATTCTGAAGACACTACAGTGTCTTGAAAAAGTATTCATACCCCTTGAAATTTTCCACATTTTGTCATGTTAAAACCAAAAATGTAAATGTATTTTATTGGGAGTTTGTGTGATAGACCAACACAAAGTGGCACAGAATTGTGAAGTGAAAGGAAAATGATTAAATGGTTTTTACTGGGCACTTTTACCCCCTTCCTGTTCAGGACAATTTTCAGCTTTCAGTGTTGTCACACTTGGAATGACATTTGTGCTGTCATGCAGCACTGCACCCATAAAAATGGGTTATCGTTTTTTCACACAAATAGAGCTCTTTCGGTGGTATATAATCACCACTCATTTTTTGCTAAATAAACAAAAAAAAAAACCCAAACCTTTAAAAAAAAAAAAAAAAAAACAATTTTCTTTGTTTCTGTTATGGAATTTTGTAAATAAATAATCTCTTTCTTCATAACATATTGTCGCCAGTCCAGTACTATTATATAACTGGTGTGGTGGTGATTTTATTTTTTTTTTGCTATTATTTTTGTGTTTTTTTTATTACATTTTTTTTTTTTAACACACTGTGACCAGATCAATACAATGTTACCATAGTAACACTGAGCTACTATGGGCAAGTGATCAGGATTTTTTTTTTTTTTTTTTTTACACACATTATGATTGCTAATACCAATGTATTTCATTGATATTTCTAACCATTGTTACTGAATGAAACTGATTCACTCAGTCTTTTATTGTGATTAGCTTTCCTTTTAGTTTCTTTCCAGAGATAAAAGAAACAAAGTATCCTTTAGCTCCCGGGAAAGTGACAGCTAATTCTGTGAGCTATAGAGAAGAAAAAAAAGCCGTCAATTGCATTTAAAATTCGGCATCGTCATACACTTCGTATTGCAAAAAAAATTTGTAAACCGAGACATTATTTTCAATGGATTTTTATTCGTAAACCGAAAATTTACGTTAACCGAGGCGTTCATAAACCGAGGTACACCTGTGTGTGTATATACCGTATTTGCCGGCGTATAAGTACGACTTTTTACCCCTTAAAAATCTTCTCAAAAAGTCGGGGGTCGTCTTATACGCCGGTATACGGCATACTGACACTTTTTAGGGGGGCGGCGCGTTGCCGCCGCCGCCCCCCCCCCAAACCCCAATGGAAGGGCACACTAAGTACAGGGGTGTATGGCAGCGGCTGTTTCTTACCTGGTTCCGGTCCAACGACGATCCGGTCCAGGAAGCACGGCTGCGCCTTCAGTTCAGTCACTGGATGTTTCGTGCGGCTGCTCGGCTCCGCCTCCTCACCAGTGATTGGCCTACGCCAGAACTGTAGCTCAGGAAAGGCACACAGGCGGCCAATCACCGGCGAGGGGGCCTGGAGCCGAGCGGCCCCGCGAAAATCGACTGCAGGACCAGCAGGTAAGTGGTCAGTGTAGAGGTGCTGCTGCAACCACATATGCTGGACTGCAGCAGCACCATACGAGAACAGGGGTCAGCAAGTGTCAGTGGGAGGAATAGTGCCCCATCATTGGTGTCACTGATACCAATGATGGAGCACTATTCCTCCCACTGATACCAATGATGGGGCACTATTCCTCCCACTGACACCAACGATGGGGCACTATTCCTCCCACTGACACCAACGATGGGGCACTATTCCTCCCCCCCACTGACACCAATGATGGGGCACTATTCCTCCCCCCCACTGACACCAACGATGGGGCACTATTCCTCCCCCCCACTGACACCAATGATGGGGGCACTATTCCTGCCTCCCCCCCACTGACACCAAAATGGGGCACTATTCCCCCCCACTTTGCAGACACCAACGATGGGGCACTATTCCCCCCCCCACTGACACCTGCAATGATGGGACACCATTCCTCCCACTGACAACCAATGATGGGACACCATTCCTCCCACTGACACCAATGATGGGACACCATTCCCCCCACTGATACCAATGATGGGGCACTATTCCCCCCACTGATACCAATGATGGGGCACTATTCCCCCCACTGATACCAATGATGGGGCACTATTCCTGCCACTGATACCAATGATGGGGCACTATTCCTCCCACTGATACCAATGATGGGGCACTATTCCTCCCACTGATACCAATGATGGGGCACTATTCCTGCCACTGGTGTGCATTGGAAGAGGGGTAGTCTTATACGGCGAGTTATAGCTCAAACACTAAATTTTTAGCAGGAAAAGTAGGGGGGTCGTCTTATACGCCAGTCGTCTTATACGCCGGCAAATACGGTATATATACCAGTTTGTAGACGCTATAACTTTCATGCCAACCAATCAATATACATTTCTTGGGATTTTTTTTTTTTACCAAAGACATGTAGCAGAATACAGTTTGTCCTAAATTTGTAAAGAAATGTGTTTTTTTTTTTTTTTTTTAGTGATTTATAGCAGATAAAAAACTTTTTTTTCAATGTTTTAGGTATTTCTTTATTTATATAAAGCTAGTGTTAGGCTAGATGTTCGATTCGAACGTACGTTTGACTATAACATTGGCCGATCGTGTGTTTGGCGAACAAACGAACAGTAAGGGCATTCGCCCGCTGCACCCCACAATGCACTGCGCCCTGACAGTGCATTGTGATTGGCCAAAGCAATGCACCTAACCACAGGGTTTGTGCTTTGGCCAATCACAGCACACGATGATGTCATAAGGGGGTGGGGGTTTACCCTGTTCCCTTGTGACGTCATTACAGTATTTAAGAACTATCATCCCGACGCAGCTGTCAGACTGCAGGAGCCAGTGTCGAGAGCAGAACCTTTTTTTTTTTTTTTTTTTTCGGGTCGACGGAGATCGTGATTAACGTTTGATCTACTTAGGAGGACAGTTTTTTTTGTTTTTAATCACTTGCCCTCCTGAAAATATATCCCCCCTTCCTGACCAGGCCATTTTTTGCATTATGGTGCTGCGTTACTTTAACCAATAATTGCACGGTCACGCACCACTGCACCCAAATGAAATGTATGTCCTCTCTCTCTCCAGGAATTGAGCTTTCTTTTGGTGGTATTTGATCGCCTGTGCGTTTATTTTTTGCACTATAAAATAAATAAAAAAGACTGACAATTTTGAGACAAAACACAATATTTTTGACTTTT